CTAATTATACTTATATTAGTGTGTTATAATATATGGATAAGCAGTTTAACTGTAGGTTTTGCCGAAAGTCATCGGTGTCGTCTGACACCGATGCTAACACTGTAGATCCGTCCCTGCGTGCGCTAACAGCCTAACACCATGTTAATTATATGCTTATGACTGAGCATTGGAGTTGGTATCCAGAGTTTGATAATGCAATTGCAAATCGGCTATAGCCCATCAACAGTTTCACTGGACGCCTGGTTGGTTTGTGGACGAAAAGCGATAAAATTCGAATAAATTTTGACAAAGTTTTAATTTTTACTTTTTTTAAACTCGATCGATTTATTGAGATTCCAATGTGGACCAGCTCTGATAACCACGATAGTCGAGTGGTTATTGATGTATTTTTTAACTTTATTGATAGCACCGTTATGATCGTATGACTTTGCCTTTTTTTTTTATTGTTAAAAAGAAAATTAAATCCTAGCTCTTACAATCGCATGTTAATGCATTTTAAGTAGGATTAGTAAGATCGTGGATTTATTGTTAGCTCATATATCTTTTTTATGATAAATAAAGTTTTATTGATTTTAAATAATTACATTAAAAGGTGATCCAACTAATTAAAATCACTTTCGGTTATCGGTCTTTGCATAGCTAGAATGAACACCCGAAGCTATAACCTTCGTTGGACACACCACCTTTATAAGGATAACGTCACACCACCTTTACAAGGATAACATCGTGAGAAGATCAATAGGCACACATCTAAAATATACTGGGTCCAAGATGACCAGTGATAAAGACGTTGTGGCAAGGAGCATTCACATGCCGACAACAGATAGACCGTTGAGGAGAGATGATGAGCTCCACGGAGACAGCCATCGACCGCACTAATTCGGACCGAATGCGCGCCACGAGAGGAGGGGTTTGGACCGCCGTGCAATCGACGCTATAGCAGAAGCTGCCAAAACTAGCTCGATGGTGTCAAAACCATCCCAACCGCTCATCATCTTAGCTGATGCAACCAAAGCCATCCCGTCACTGAAACAATCGATAGCCACATTCCTTCACCGTCAAAGCCATCACAGTGAAGCCGTTGATGACACATCAGATCCGTTTGTCTAGGTGCCACCGCAGCTGCCCCCATCCCTGACTTTGGCCCTTCTACATCTAGATTCGCGCTGTTAATGTGCGTGGGAGGTAGTTGGTAGAGAAAGCAAAAAGGAAGGCACCCGACTAGCACAGATGAGAGGAGTGGACATGAAGAGTGGCTTGGTGGAATCACCTCCTGGTCCACCCAGTGTGCGAATTTGTGTTAAAGTCAGGGCCGTGCACATGGGCGTGCGGCCCGTGCGACCGTACAGAGCCTCCAAATTTTCAGGGCCTCAGAAAAATCAGTCCAACCGAAGAAGGCCCATGTATTCGTGTGAGGTGAGAGCGTCAGAACCCCGTTCGAGTCCGCGCATGTCTCCGCGCGGCGACTTCGCGTGCGTGGCGCTTCGTATTATCAACTCTGAGCCCTGAGGCCCCACGGCGTTTTGTATTCTCTTTTTTTTCGTATCTGTGACTTATTCAGTTCGTCTCGAGTCTCGACGTCTCGTCTCCTCCGAGCACCAGGCCGCCAGCCAACTCATCCAATTTTATATTTTCATTCAACCAGCGAATAGCAACTTAGCAAGCAACCAACAAGCAAGGCACTAGGCAGCAAGCTAGCAACAGCAACGAACATTCTCCGTTTTCAGTTTGACATTTTTTTATTATGCAAAACAAGAGTTAAAAAATATACTATTCTTGATATATCACATTTGCTTTACAATATATATATTATTTTAGCTATATTTGGTACTTGATTTATGCCTTACTTAGACCCTTGTATAGGGCCTCCAAATTTGACGGCACTGCCCTGGTTAAAGTGATTTTTTTAGATAATGGAACAAATTTCAGATTTTGTTTCAAGGAAACTACGGTCAATTATTACTGTATCCTTCCAATAAATAGCATAATCAACCTTTCTCAATAGAGAGCACAAAACATTCTCTCAACAAAAAGCATAAAACATGAAACAATGCACAAACTAATATATCTTTTCAAACATATGATGTACTATGTGTTTGAGATACGTGCGTGTGGCTTCCATATAATTTCTCTAACATATGATGTATGCATTCCAATTATGTAGTTAATTAATCCTGGTGGAGTCACCCGAATTCTAGAGTTTCTTTGGAAAAAAAAAAGGGACGCATCTCTATCGCCAGAGCAGCAGACACGTAAAAAAGAAACAAGTGGAATGTTTATTCCCAGAAGAGACTGTTGGTCTACTGCTGGTCAGTCAACCATTTCAAATAACAGTCAGTCCACGTCCACTGTTCCTCCACTATACTTTCTTACTTTCTTAGTGATGCCCGTGAAAACCCCCTCGCAATTTCAGTGGTAGACACAATTATGCAAGTCAATCAGGTCCACACGCCCCGACATATTAGTTCACACATCTAAATCCTACTAATTGATCAAGTGCCAATTTCATTGAGAAAATCCAATTTGCTGATCTTAATTATTATTCTATCTGAACATTTTGCCGAAGACTTCTTTTCTAAAGACCTGCCTTAGATTATGAATTTATGGCATCGAGCAGAAATTTCTTCTTGCAGCACCCGTTGCTGTGGACGACGCAAGTTGCTGACGGTCGAGCATGTGGGGGTTGCCTGTTCTTAGTTTAATCAAACTCGAGCAGGTCAAGTCAAGCCTGCCTCGAGTCTCAGTTTAGTTCAGACAACCTTCCGTGTCGTTTGCTGCTAATCGCGATGCATTTGCAGGGGAAGATACAGTAACGATCCATCTCGTTGCTCTGTAGTGCGGTGAAACAGGATGCCCTGCTTCTTTTCTTTCGTGGGGAAATTACTAAATGATTTAATGGATGACACACTAGCTACCTGTTACACTAACTAAAATGATCCCCGTTTGTTGTGACTTACGTTCATATGACAGTGAAATCATCTGAGCTCAGCTGTTGAGCATCACAGGCGACGTCCAAATTGTTAGCGCTTCGACTATAAACCTCTTTTTTTTTCTTTGTTTTGGTGGTGAACTTGAACAAAGATCTGGAGTGTGAGCGCGAGGGCAAGGGCACAGGCGAGGGTGACGGTGAGGGCGAATCTAGGATGCGGAGGTCGGGGCGTGCGCCTGGGAACGAGGGAGAAGCCACTCGCCCCACAACACGCCTGCCACCCCTTCTCCCAACCGCACGCGGCTTCGATATTGCCCAAGAACGCGTTGCTTCAGTTGGAAGCGTGGACTTTGTTTTGGTGGGCCCGGCTACAAACATGGCTTCGATTTCTCAGAAATTGTCGACGTATGCGGCTCAGGCTGAATGCTACGGCGTATCATTGTAAAGGTCCTGATAGTGCATACGCGGATAAGGGAAACAGATCACTGACTTTGTGCAATCTGCAGTTGTGCCACGGACATGTGGGTCTCACTTTGGTATGGCCTACATGTCAGTGGCACAACTATAAACTGCACAACGTTAGAGGAGTCTCATCCACAGATAAGGCATAGTGTGGCAGAACTCTGATTCATTCTGTCCACCCAGAGAAAATGGAGTGTGCTCCAAGATCTGTCAGCTTTCACGGCTCCATTTCCTTTGCCATACCGTGACACCGGTTGATGATTGGTGAGGCATGCCTATCTGTGTGGTCATAAGCGTCTGATCAACATCTTGTATTCCTGTTTCGCCCACTCTCTGTCTGCTCACTGATTAGAGATAGATAATACAGTATATGCAGGCAGAGCCAAAAAGATCTGTCACTGTCCATAGTACATATACTTGTGCCACTGCCAGCCACTGAAATGGAAATCCGAAACCTGATCAACCATTTATAGTTAGGGTGTGTTTAGTTCTCAAAAAAAAAAAATTTAGTGTCACATTGGATGTTTGACCGGATGTCGGAAAGGTTTTTCGGACACGAATAAAAACACTAATTTCGTAACTCGCTTGGAAACCGCGAGATGAATCTTTTGAGTTTAATTAAGCCGTCATTAGTATATGTGGGTTACTGTAACACTTATGGCTAATCATGGACTAATTAGATACAAAAGATTCGTCTCGCGATTTCCATACAACCTGTGCAATTAGTGTGTGTGTGTGTGTGTGTGTGTATATATATATATATATATATATATATATATATATATATATATATATATATATATATATATATATATATATATATATATATATATGCGCGCGCGCATGCGTCTAAAGATTTAATGTGATGTTTTTCGGAAAAAAAATTAGGAACTTCTTGCCACCCCGAAAACGGAGGGCATGTACTATGATTAGCGATAGGTCAGAGTCTAAAAAGGTGACGCCATATTTTGTAGAAAAAAATATATCGATTCCTAGATAATACGATATGCGTTAAGATTCGTGTAGTACATACAAAAACATCAAAGGAACCCAAGAGAGGAGCAGGATTGAACGCATGACCTGAGCATTACAAACCAAGACATTTACCATGCAAGCAACCACCACATTTTGTTTGACTTACATATAACTTACATATGTAAATACAAATTACAAATTACACAGACTTACATATTTTCCGCAAATTACAAATATGTAAGTTTATAAATTACATATGTAATTTTAGTGTAAATACAAATTACAAATTACACATATAAATTACATTGTTAATACACTAAAATTACATATGAAATTTATAAACTTCCAATATAAATATATGCTATTTTTTCTGTTGAAAAATATGACGGTATAAATATTCTGACTTTTTTGCACCTTCTGCACGTTCTTTTTTTTCCCCCAAAGAGGGATACCTGCAACTTCACATACGCAGCAGAGCGTTGTGCTTGTGCAGCCTAGCTGAGCAGCGGTGGTTCCGTGGCCTCGGTCTCTCTCCACGTTTTTCTCGGCAAAACGACAATTTGCACAAGTGGACGCCTTGGCCCATTTCGCGGCCAAGTTTTCTTTCCAGACATCGTGAGAATCGTCTTGGATCGATTTCCCCGTCCTTTCCCACCATATGACACCTCAACTTCCTCCACACGCTCGCGCGCTCTACTACCGCCATGGTGACACCTCCGAGCTCGTCGTCTTCTATAAGTAGCTAGCTCGAGCTCTGGTTGTCCACCACCGGCCAAGCAGCTCAGCCTATAACATAGTAACTGAATTGCAGCCAATCCACGTACTACCGACCGGTTACCGATGGAGCTGATGCTGCCGCCATGGGCGTCCTTCGTCGGCGTAGTGCTCGCCACCGTGCTGTTCCTGAAAGCGGTGCTCGGCCGTAGCCGCCGCGTGTACAACCTCCCGCCGGGGCCGAAGCCGTGGCCGGTCATCGGCAACCTCAACCTGGTGGGCACGCTCCCGCACCGCTCCATCCACAACCTCTCCAAGAAGTACGGTCCCCTGATGTACCTCAGGTTCGGGTCGTTCCCCGTCGTCGTCGGCTCGTCGGTGGAGATGGCCAAGTTCTTCCTCAAGACCCACGACGTGGTGTTCACCGACCGGCCCAAGACCGCCGCCGGCAAGCACACCACCTACAACTACAGCGACATCACGTGGTCGCCCTACGGCGCGTACTGGCGCCAGGCGCGCAAGATGTGCCTCACCGAGCTCTTCAGCGCCAAGCGGCTGGAGTCGTACGAGTACATCCGTGGCGAGGAGGTGCGCGCGCTGCTGCGCGACCTGCACGGCGCGGCCGGCGGCGTCGTGGTGCTCAAGGACTACCTGTCGACGGTGAGCCTGAACGTGATCACGCGCATGGTGCTGGGCAAGAAGTACCTGGACAAGGATGCGGGGGGGTCGGTGACGACGCCGGAGGAGTTCAAGTGGATGCTCGACGAGCTGTTCCTGCTCAACGGCGTGCTCAACATCGGCGACTCCATCCCGTGGCTCGACTGGCTGGACCTGCAGGGGTACATCAAGAGGATGAAGAAGCTCGGCAAGATGTTCGACCGGTTCCTGGAACACGTCGTGGACGAGCACAACGAGCGCCGCCGCCGCGAGGGGGAGAGCTTCGTGGCCAAGGACATGGTGGACGTGCTGCTGCAGTTCGCTGACAATCCCAACCTTGAGGTCAAGCTCAAGAGGGAAGGTGTCAAGGCATTCACTCAGGTGAGTCTTTCTGTCACTGCATTTCTGCCCCCAAAAAATGTTTTCAGATCAACTTCAAATATCTACACGCTTCAATAAACTGGAAAATCACATACTAATACTGTAATTAATAGGAACAATCTTGAATGGGTGCAGTCACAAACTCTCAGAATGATAGCTGCAGGCTGCAACTATGTACTCGTAGCATTCTTGTTAGTCAACTTCTGAAACTTGACCGTGACATAAATTATTTATTTCTTAGTAGGATATTGGGATACTACGTATGGTAGGGTTGTCATTTATCATAGCCAAACCACATTATTAATTACTAGTTTCAATCAGAAAACGGACTTACATAAAAGATCGGAGTTGCCCAAATGGACGTCACTATCCATTAGGGAAATGAATGTGCTTGCCACAGAGCTAGCCCACACAACTATGAACTGTCTGAATATCTTGTCTGCCCAAAGAGCTTGCAGATTCCGTTGCTGATAAGCATGGGACGTCAATCATTGCAAGCAGCACTGACCCCCTCCTGTGATCTAAACAGTGCAGAATAAGTTTATAACTGAACAAAAACAACATTAAAAAACAATTTTCAGACTGCAGATCAACACTCTTCATTATGTCTTAAATCTTATAACAATGCATCATATCACTGGAGTGTTACTTAGTCCATTGTTGATCACCATTACAACACCATCTAAGTAGCAACAATTCAGCAATTCACATCGATCGTTACGTGCAGGACCTCATCGCTGGCGGCACAGAGAGCTCGGCGGTGACCGTGGAGTGGGCGCTGTCGGAGCTCCTGAAGAAGCCGGAGGTGTTCGCCAAGGCCACCGAGGAGCTGGACCGCGTCGTGGGCCGCGGCCGCTGGGTCACGGAGAAGGACGTCCCGAGCCTCACCTACGTGGACGCCATCGTGAAGGAGACCATGCGGCTGCACCCGGTGGCGCCCATGCTGGTGCCCCGCCTGTCCCGCGAGGACACGTCCGTCGACGGCTACGACATCCCCGCCGGCACGCGGGTGCTCGTCAGCGTGTGGACCATCGGCCGCGACCCCAAGCTGTGGGACGCGCCGGAGGAGTTCATGCCGGAGAGGTTCATCGGCAACAAGATCGACGTGAAGGGGCAGGACTTCGAGCTGCTGCCGTTCGGGTCGGGCCGGCGGATGTGCCCCGGCTACAGCCTTGGGCTGAAGGTGATCCAGCTGAGCCTCGCCAATCTGCTGCACGGCTTCGCGTGGAGGCTGCCCGACGGCGTGACGAGGGAGCAGCTGAGCATGGAGGAGATCTTCGGCTTGTCGACGCCGCGCAAGTTCCCGCTTGAGGCTGTCGTCGAGCCCAAGCTGCCCGCTCACCTCTATGCTGCTGCCTGATGTGATATGCCTTTGATGATGTGCGTGTGTACGTTCTGTGTCTCTTGACTGTACTGTAGGCACTGCTCCTGTCGCGGTCCAACATTAAGCTTGCAGTGTATTGCTAGCGTTGTTACTTATTATGCATCCTGTGCTGCCTTTGTAGAGCTGAATGTAATAGGGCAAGTGTGAGTCAATAATATGCTTGATAATAAGGTGTTATGCGATATTGGAGTGTCGTGCACAAAATAGATTCATCATACTGGCAGTAGATATTCCCTATGAAAAAAAACCACTGTCGCAGATATGTAGGAAGTAGGATAAGTCCATATTGCCCACCTCAACTAGTTATTTTTTACGAGCTGGCTCGGCTCGTTTGAGCTCGTTATCTTAACGAGCCTGTTAACGATCCAGAAGCTTAGCTCGGCTTGGCTAGTCTCATAAGTTGACTTATTAAGCTAGTTAGTTAGGCTTGTTAACGTATTTATTCTACCTTCATAATTTCACATTTACCATTTTATCATATATAAACATGAAAATAAACACTAACTAATAAATAATTCACTAAATATAAATAGTTCGGTTGTATTTAAATGACTGAATACTAGTTAAAATCACGAAGTACATGAAGATATGTTGATTTCTTGTATTAACGAGCTAAACGAGCAGTTCGCGAGCTTCATGAGCTAAAAGTCTACTTTGGCTCGACTTATTAAGACTACAAATTCGACTCAATCCGAGCCAAGCTCGCTACGAGCTTTAAGTTTTTTGTCCACCCCAAGTCCAAACTCCAAACACACCCTTTAACTTTAACTTTAATATTGTATAAAGAAACATTCTCAACTCTTAAAACCATTTAAAGAATTTATTCTCATAAAAGTCCTCAATTACTCCCACCGTCATAAACAACCAATCAAAAAGCTCAAATTTCTACTAGAAATGTAGCTATATTTTTTAACAGAGGATAAATTATGTTTATTTTGCCTAGCATGGCCTTTTGAATGCATATGTTACTATAAAATCCAAGAAATAAGTGATTGCACTCAAGCTTGATTTTGAGAAGGCATTTTGGTAAAACTGAATAGAGTGTAATCCTAGAGATTCTGATATGTAAAGGGATTGGCAACTGTGGATTGATTGGGTAGAAAAAAAAATCTAAAAATCTACAACTTTTTCCATTTTATTGAATGGAGTGCCCCAGGGAAAAAAATCTCAATCCAGAAGGGGAGTGAGACAAGGAGTCTCATTCAACTCTCCTTTTTTAACTAGCAACAGACCTCCTACAATCTATTCACAATAAAGCTATGACCTATGAACAGAGGGACCTTGCAATCTTCACTGACAATTTCAACTTGTACGTGTCTTGACTTACTAGTAATACAATATGCGGATGACACGCTCCTAGTAATATATGTATGCTCTAGACAATTGTTTTGACTCAAAGCTTTTTACATACATTTTGTGGACTCGACTAGTCTAAGAATAAACTTCAACAAATCATTCATGGTGCCAATTAATGTGTCAGAAGAAAAGATGAAGATTCCCACAAATACTCTGCAATGACGCAACGATCCTTTCCTTTCAGTTACCTTGGATTACCTTTAAGTCTCACCAAACCACTCATACATGATTTCTTCCCAATAGTATAGAGAATTAAAAGAAGGCTCGTCTCCTGTTCCATTTATCTTTCTTATGGAAATAGGCTCGATCTGGTTAACTATGTGCTTTCTGCTAACTTTCTACATGTGCCAACTGAAACTTCCAGTTAAGAGTTGTGGAGCAAATTGATAAAAACAGAAGACATCGTCTATGGAGAGGGTTAGACATGGGAAGCAAATTAAACACTCCTCTTGTTTGGAATAAAGTTTGCATGTCACTGTATTCTTAAAAATGTTTATATTTTGAGATGTATGGGGTACTCTACATGGTGCACGGCTGTATGCCTACCTACTGTTGCTTACTCATTGATAGCATTGTTGCAGTTTCTTATAGCTTCTCTGTCTCAAAAGAAAATGACTACCTCAACAGGTCATACAAAAAGTACACCATTTATCAATGCAATTTGTTCTATTGTAAAATAGATACCAATTGATCAGAGGTACATATCCTATATGTACAAACTTCTCGTGCACGCTCCATGCACACCAACAAGCAAATGGCACGAAAATTTCTACGAATAATTGAACATTTACTCCTAATAGTATTAAACATATCTGCAAAGTCTCATATTCAAATTCATTATATTTTAGCCGTAACAAAAAAGTGAAAAATCTGACAATTTAAAAGTAAAAATCTGTTAGAAATTTGTTTTTTTTGTTACGGCTAAAATATAATGTATTTGAATATAAGATTTCACACGTAAGTATAATACCATTGGAATTATGTGTCTAATTTTTTCTGGATTTTTCTGTGACATTTGTCAGTTGGTGTGTTAGGAGTGTACACGGGAAATATATTCCCTTCCAGATCACGAGATTAATTAGCAACTTGGGCAATTAACCACAGTGGTTTTTTAACATGACCAGTACAAGTTGACTAATGATTGTCTTTATTTATGCCAAGTGCAAACAAAACATCGATCGAATGCCCATATGCAGCCTGAATTCTCAATGGTATATCTATTGCGTTAGCAAGCCACTCCCTCTTGCGATCTATAAAAGTTCGCCCGTGGTTCAGTCATCTTCACCAGCCAAGATACATTTTTCAGATGGAGTTTCTACTATGGGTATCCTACCTTACCATCACACTCGCCACCATCCTCTTATTTCTTAGAACCCTGATCTTGAGGCACAACCGCCGGGTGTACAACCTCCCTCCTGGGCCTAAGCCATGGCCAATCATCGGCAACCTCAACCTCATGGGCTCACTCCCACACCGCTCCATCCACAGCCTCTCCAAGAAGTACGGTCCCCTGATGCACCTCAGGTTCGGGTCCTTCCCCGTCGTCGTTGGCTCGTCGGTGGAGATGGCCAAGTTCTTCCTCAAGACCCACGACGTGGTGTTCGCCGACCGGCCCAAGACCGCCGCCGGCAAGCACACCACCTACAACTACAGCGACATGACGTGGTCGCCCTACGGCGCGTACTGGCGCCAGGCGCGCAAGGTGTGCCTCGCCGAGCTCTTCAGCGCCAAGCGGATCGAGTCGTACGAGCACATCCGCCGCGAGGAGGTGCGCGCGCTGCTCCGCGATCTGCACGCGGCGTCCGGGCGCGTGGTGGCGCTCAAGGACTACCTGTCCGCGGCGAGCCTGAACGTGATCTCGCGCATGGTGCTCGGCAAGAAGTACCTGGAGCGCGAGGTGGTGCACGAGGGAGAAGTGGTGACGACGCCCGAGCGGTTCAGGTGGATGATCGATGAGCTCTTCCTGCTTAACGGCGTGCTCGACATTGGGGATTCGATCCCGTGGTTGGGCTGGCTGGACCTGCAGGGGTACATTCGGAGGATGAAGAAGCTGAGCAAGATGTTTGATCAGTTCCTGGAATATGTATTGGACGAGCATGAGAACCGGATGTGTCGCGAGGGGGAGAGCTTCGTGGCGAAGGACATGGTGGATGTGCTGCTCAATGTCGCCAGCGATCCTTCGCTGGAGGTCAAGTTCAGCCGTGACAGCGTCAAGGCATTCACCCAGGTAATTAACCGAGTCAAATAGCATCTCAATATATTAATATTATTTGAGTGTAGTGTAGGGTTGGTTTCTAATCTTATAGTAGATGTGTCATCTAGATTCTTAAAGGGGCAATTGTGTTCTTACCCCTACTTTCATATGCAATTGTGATTTTACCCTTCTTTTCTAGGGTTTGTGATTTTACCCTCACATTTTCAAAACGAAACTCTGATTTGCCCCTACTCTGTTAAAACCACCTAACGGTGTCAATAAAACTAAAAAAAGACAGGTATAACCCTGTACAGTTGGCCCTACTTTTCTTTTAGGATCTGTGTATTTTCCAAAAAAATATGATCGCACTTGGACAAATTTTGAAAGAACTTCGATATCATTGATAGGATTTCACAGAACTTTCACCAGGTACGAAAGATCCATCGCATTCACCAGTAAAAAATCACCAAACAAACAAGCTCCTCACAAAGTAGCACAAGATCGGAAAAAAGAAAAAGAAAATAAGAGGCGGCTGCAGCACGACCGGAGCCGCCGCCTTCTCGTGCGATGCCGCTGCTGCGGGCTCGCACGTGCCGCCGAAGCTGCCTCCTGCTTGCGGCTGCCGTCGGAGGCTCGGAGCCGCCGCCTATTCACTCGCTCCGCCGAAGCCGCGGCTTGCTCACTGCGCCAACACCCCCTACTAGCTTTGCTGATGTGGGCATCTGCTGCTGCTCGCTGGGCATCACAGCCTTGCCCAGCCGCCGGCCTATCTCGCCTGTGCACAGCCGCCGGCGGTGCCACTAGGGTTAGGCTAATCAAGTAATCAGAATGGGGATCGGGTGGGATGAAAAAGGCAATGCAGGGTGTTGTTCTTTGCACTGGGGTATAATGGTCCATTGTTTTTCTCTTAGTAATTTCATCTATATTTTTTACACTCTTATTTTGGGTCCACCAAACGGTCATCCAATGTAGGGGCAAACGACAGCTTCCTTCAGAAAAAAATGAGGGCAAAATCACAAACCCTAGAAAAAAGAGGGGGTAAAATCACAATTAGATATGAAAGTAGAGATAAGAACACAATTGCCCCATTCTTAAACTATCAAAAGGAATTTTTGGATTCCTGAATTTGTCATGGACATGCCATATTGGTGTCGGTGGGATCCATATGTTGATAAAATTTTAAAAAGAGAGGAGAAAATGATTTTTTTATCTTGAAAAAATAAAATTAAAAAGAGAGGAGAGAGGATATTTTTTTAAAAAAAAAGTTTATATGTGTCTCACATGTAAGTCCTACTGACATGGTATGTCACATTAGCACATGAAGCAGTTTGGAGTCTGTTTGGATTTATATAATACATAGGACAAGTTCAGAAACCAATATATTTTAGGAGTTTAGAGATTGAAAAGATACGCAAAACGAGGTGAGCCATTAGCACATGATTAATTGAGTATAAACTATTTTAAACTTCAAAAATGGATTAATATAATTTTTTAAAGTAATTTTCGTATAGAATTTTTTTAAAAAAACACACCATTTAATAGTGTGAGAAATGTGCGCGTGGAAAACGAAACAAACTCACTCACAGTCTCTGCTGGCGAACGCAACAATCCACACAAATTTAAATACTGCATGTGTACTTACTTATATTCTTTTATGGGGAATAGAAAGTCAGTTGGATTATAATAGTATCATCGTACATAACCATGCACTAGCTACATCTTGACTTCGTTGACGCCCAATCGGTCCTAAATATTAACCTGATTGTCTCCGCAACTAGCTAATTAATCATATGTTGTGCAGAGCTTTTTCTTTTCTTTTCTTAAGCAAGTGGCTGGAAGCTCTTCCCTGTATTATACTAAGAAGAGAGAAGGTGAAACACATTGTTCATGGATTACATAACATAAACTGCAACCCGAGCAACTAACACAAGATTATGAAAAGATGTGTTGTGCCGAGTGCAGTGCACGCTATTTTACCATCGATCAAAATATTCAGTTTGTGACTGTGTTCTCGTTTCTTTACCTGATTCACCGGTCCAAACTCCAACGTTGCTCATCATCTGCACGTGCACAGGACCTCATCGCTGGCGGCACGGAGAGCTCATCGGCCACTGTGGATTGGGCCATCGCGGAGCTTCTCAGGAAGCCGGAGGTGTTCGCCAAGGTCACCGAGGAGCTGGACCGTGTCGTCGGCCGCGGCCGCTGGGTCACGGAGAAGGACATCCCGAGCCTCCCCTACATCGACGCCATCATGAAGGAGACGATGCGAATGCACCCGGTTGCGCCCATGCTTGCGCCTCGCCTGTCCCGCGAAGACACGTCCGTCGACGGCTATGACATCCCCGCTGGCACGCGGGTGCTCGTCGGCGTCTGGTCCATCGGCCGCGACCCCAAGCTGTGGGACGCGCCGGAGGAGTTCATGCCGGAGAGGTTCATCGGCAGCAAGATCGACGTGAAGGGGCAGGATTTCGAGCTGCTGCCGTTCGGGTCGGGCCGGCGGATGTGCCCCGGCTACAGCCTTGGGCTGAGGGTGATCCAGGTGAGCCTCGCCAACCTGCTGCACGGCTTCGCGTGGAGGCTGCCCGACGGCATGACGAAGGAGCAGCTGAGCATGGAGGAGATCTTCGGTTTGTCGACGCCGCGCAAGTTCCCGCTCGAGGTTGTCGTCGAGCCCAAGCTCCCGGCTGACCTCTATGTGTCTGCTTGCTGATGTATATCTGTGTGTTGCATGTCTGTTGATTACAGTTGTTACTGCATCTGTCGTCGCTGCAGTCCGGTAAGCCTGCAGTATTAGTACTGGTGTTGTTGCTTATGCATTATTTTCTGTCTTTGTAAGAGTGGAATAATAGGGCAAGAGTGAGTCAATAATATGCTTGATAATAAGGTTTTCTTCGTTCTTGGACTCTGATATTTGTGCACAAGACAGATTCATGGGTACTGCTAGTAGATATTCTCTATGTTGAACTACCTGGAATGTTGAGTCGTATTGTAACAATATAGGATACTATGCCGGCTGTGATTTAGGATGCAGTTAATTGTTAATTTGTTAGATAATCACGGCTGGTATGGTGTGCTATATATACATGTAATCTCGCACCGATTCGTGTGCTATCAATCAACACGTAACCGCCTGGACCTGAGAAGGCCGGCGTTCAATCCACAGATTCCCAAACTTCTTCATGGTATCAGAGCGATTGGAAGAAGAAATCGATTCTGCATCTGAATCTGAAGAGATTGCATCCGAGTCATCTGAAGAAGAGGTTGCATCTGAAAAGAGCACCCAGATGGCATCTACATCCAACTCCGCTGCGAGCTCCAATCCCTTGATCGGAGTTCAGGTCACCGAGAAGCTTTCCAAGGCGAATCATGGGCTCTGGGTGGCGCAGGTGCTCACGGCAATTCGGGGCGCCAGACTTGAGGGGCACATCAATGGGAAAAACCCAGCTCCTCCTGCTGAAATCACGAAGACCGTCGATGGAAAGGAAGTCAAGACCTCCAACCCGAACTATGATGAATGGTTCGCTGCTGATCAGCAGATCCTCGGCTTCTTGTTCTCCTCGTTGACGAGAGAGACACTCTCACAAGTAGCTGCTGTGAAGACGGCGGCCGAAGCATGGAAAACCCTGGACGACATGTTTACGTCCAGGACACGCGCGCGTTCTCTCAACGTGCGCCTGGCGCTGACGACTCTATAGAAGGGCAACTCGTCGATCTCTGAATATATCGGCAAGATGAAGACCCTCGCAGATGAAGTTGCAGCAGCCGGCAAACCACTGGATGATGAAGAACTGATCGCCTACATCCTCAACGGCCTCGACGAAGATTTCGACTCCGTCGTCTCCACAATTGTTGGCAGGGTTGAACCTGTCACGGTTGCGGAAGTCTACTCACAACTTTTAAGCTTTGAAAACAGGTTAGCAATGAGGCAGGCGCAGGCCACGGCGAACATGGCGAACAGAGGTGGACGTGGTGGTGGTGGCTCACGGGGTGGTGGCGCAAACCCTGGGCGAGGACGCGGCGCAACTCGTGGGCGCAGCGCCGCACCAGGTCGTGGACGCGGCAACAACCAGCAGCAGCGCAGCTATGACAATCGTCCATTGTGCCAGGTCTGCTATAAACGCGGACATGTTGCAGCGGACTGTTGGCATCGATTTGATGAAGATTTCGTCCCCGACGACAAGCTAGTTGCTGCTGCCATCCACACCCATGCACGGGACTCCAACTGGTATGTTGACACCGGCGCCACCGACCACATCACCTCGGAACTGGAGAAACTCACCGCTCGAGACGTCTACAAAGGACATGATCAAATCCACACGGCGAGTGGTTCAGGTATGGAGATTAAACATATTGGTCATTCAATAGTTCATACCCCTACTCGCCCATTGCATCTGAATAATGTTCTCCATGTCCCTCAAGCCAATAAAAATCTTATTTCCGCATATAAGCTTGCTGCAGATAACTCTGTGTTTCTTGAAATTCACTCAAAACATTTTTTGATCAAGGATCAGGCCACGAGGAGAACGGTTCTTAAGGGGAGACGCCAAAAAGGACTCTATCCAGTTCCATCTGCATCTCCTCCATCATCTGCAAAAGTAGTTTGTGCTGTCACGCCATCCTTTGAGAGATGGCATAGTCGCTTGGGTCATTCCTCAGCACCCATTATCTCCAGAGTCATTAGCAAGAATAAATTACCTTGTCTAGATGAGTCCAATAAAGAGCCGGTTTGTGATGCATGTCTAAAGGCCAAGAGCCATCAGTTACCTTATTCTAAATCTTTGAGTATATCGAGTCATCCTTTGGAACTTGTGTTTTCTGATGTTTGGGGTCCTGCTCCAGTTTCTGTTGGAAATAAGAAATATTATGTCAGTTTTATTGATGATTATAGCAAGTTCACTTGGATTTATCTTTTAAAGAACAAATCTGAAGTTTTTCAGAAATTTCATGATTTTCAGAATTTGGTTGAACGTTTGTTCGATCGTAAAATTATTTCCATGCAAACTGACTGGGGGGGAGAGTACCAGAAACTCAATTCCTTTTTTGAGAAAATAGGTATATCTCACTATGTCTCCTGCCCACATACTCATCAACAAAATGGCTCTGCCGAAAGAAAACATAGGCACATCGTAGAAGTTGGCCTATCTCTTCTAGCATATGCTAGTATGCCGCTCAAATATTGGGATGAAGCGTTTCTTGCTGCCACTCATATTATAAATCGGGTTCCTAGTAGAGTCATTGAGTTTGAGTCTCCCCTGGAACGTCTCTTCAAACAAACACCAGACTATTCATCCTTTAGAGTGTTTGGTTGTGCTTGTTGGCCTAATCTTCGTCCTTATAATGCACATAAGCTCCAATTTCGTTCAAAGCAATGTGTATTTCTTGGTCATAGCCACCGCCATAAAGGATACAAATGTCTGGACATTGCTTCTGGTAGAATCTATATATCCAGAGATGTCATTTTTGATGAGAGTGTATTTCCTTTTTCTAAATTGCATGACAATGCTGGCGCACGTATTCGTCATGAGATCTCTCTTTTGCCCTCTGATCTCATTATTCACACGTCTCATCAAGGGGGAGAACTTGAGAATGATCAGATGTTTAATTCTCCTAATGAAATGCCTGATCAATCTGTTGAGCATGCAGAAGATACAGGAAATATAGGTGCAGAGGACTGGGTGGATGAAGCAAATACGCAGCAGCTGTCACAGCAGCAACCATCATCGCCGCAGTCGCCGGGATCTGTGACACCCTTGTGTGTGCGCAGGTCTGGTAGTGACACGCATGCAGCAACTTCAGGCACGCGTGTTGAGAACGAGCCGAGTGATCAGTCTCCGTCTGCCACGACGATGGCAGGTAATGATGATGTCTCTGAATCCTCTGCATCGCATGAAGAAGCCGCGAGCTCTCCTGTGGCTGAGCAGCATCAACCAGAAATAGTTCGGCCTAGAACCCGCTTACAGAGTGGAATCCGCAAAGAAAAGGTATACACAGATGGTACAGTTAAATATGCTTGCTTTACAGCTTCTGGTGAACCAGAAAATTTACATGAGGCATTAAATGATAAAAATTGGAAAAATGCTATGGATGCTGAATATGAGGCACTAATGGGTAATAAAACCTGGCATTTAGTTCCTGCAGAAAAAGCTAATAATATTATAGATTGCAAGTGGGTCTATAAGATTAAAAGAAAGGCTGATGGTAGCTTAGACAGATATAAAGCTAGATTGGTTGCAAAGGGATTTAAACAGAGGTATGGAATAGATTATGAAGATACCTTTAGTCCTGTGGTAAAAGCAATTACAATCAGAATTATTTTGTCTATTGCTATCTCTAGAGGTTGGAGCCTTCGACAGCTAGATGTCAGTAATGCTTTTCTCCATGGGATATTGGAAGAGGAGGTTTATATGAAACAACCCCCAAGATATGAAGATAAATCCTTGATTAATCATGTATGTAAGTTAGACAAGGCTTTATATGGTCTTAAGCAGGCACCAAGGGCATGGTACTCAAGGCTAAGCACAAAACTGCAAGAGCTAGGATTCATGCCTTCCAAGGCTGATACATCTCTGTTCTTCTACAGCAAGGGTGATGTCATTATATTTGTTCTTATATATGTTGATGATATAATTGTTGCTAGCTCTATGCCAGATGCCACCACAGCTCTTTTGCAGGACCTGAATAAGTCTTTTGCCTTAAAGGACTTAGGAGAGCTTCATTATTTCCTAGGAATAGAAGCAACAAAGGTATGTGATGGTATTCTGTTATCTCAAGAAAAATATGTAAAAGATCTATTGAAGCGAATCAATATGGATAAGTGCAAACCTGTGAGTACGCCTCTGTCACCAACTGAGAAACTCTCAATACATCAGGGAGATGTTCTTGGACCTAATGATGCTACCAATTATAGGAGCATAGTTGGAGCATTGCAATATTTGACTCTAACTAGGCCAGATATTTCTTTCTCAGTTAATAAAGTCTGTCAGTACTTACACTCTCCAACTACAGTTCATTGGGCTGCAGTCAAGAGGATTCTGAGATATTTGCAACAAACATCTGGGCTTGGTCTTAAGATAAGAAAGTCTTCTTCTTTACTTGTCAGTGGTTTCTCTGATGCTGATTGGGCAGGTTGCTTAGATGATAGGAGATCCACTGGTGGCTTTGCTGTTTATTTGGGGCCTAATCTTGTGTCTTGGAGTGCACGTAAACAACCTACAGTGTCAAGATCAAGTACAGAAGCAGAATATAAGGCTTTGGCTAATGTCACAGCTGAGATCATGTGGGTGCAAACTCTGTTGAAAGAGATCAAGATAGAAGTACCAAAAACAGCAAAGGTATGGTGTGATAACATTGGAGCAAAGTATCTCTCTGCTAATCCTGTGTTTCATGCTCGTACTAAGCATATAGAAGTAGACTATCATTTTGTTCGTGAAAGAGTATCTAGGAAATTGTTGGAAATAGAGTATGTTCCTTCACAAGATCAAGTTGCAGATGGATTTACAAAACCCTTGAATGAGAAACAGCTAGCTGTATTTAGATACAATCTTAACCTTTATGGTTTAGATTGAGGGGGAGTGTTGAACTACCTGAAATGTTGAGTCCGTATTGTAACAATATAGGATACTATGCCGGCTGTGATTTAGGATGCAGTTAATTGTTAATTTGTTAGATAATCACGGCTGGTATGGTGTGCTATATATACATGTAATCTCGCACCGATTCGTGTGCTATCAATCAACACGTAACCGCCTGGACCTGAGAAGGCCGGCGTTCAATCCACAGATTCCCAAACTTCTTCACTCTATATTAAGCAAAAAAAAACACCAGTGAACAAGTGGTCTGTATTCTCGGTTTGCAACCCCTTTAGTCCTAAGTTGCAAACTGGTACTACGAATCCAAGACTATCTTTAGTCCCGATTAAAATAACCGGGACTAAAGATCTATTTTTAAGTTCTAGTTGGTGAAGATGGTAGAGACAGGTGGCTAGTGCTCCTAATTTAGTCCTGGTATAGAGTTTCTTTTTCTTTTTTTCATTGCTTTTAACTGCTTGAATATTGATTTCACTACATCCCCAAATCGTGAAATCCCCAAATAATCTCCAAATCACAGATCAAATACATCACAAATTCTCAAAAAAATCACATCACAAATTTTAAAAAAAACATTACAAATACATCACATATTCACATCACAGATCAAACATCACTAATTCTCAAAAACAAATTCATCGCAAATCCTAAAAAAAAAATCTTCTTCCGGTCTGGTTGCAGTCGCTCCACCGCCGCCGCCTCCCCTCCTGCCGGATCTGGCGGAAGGGAGGGCGAGGCCGCCGCCTCCCCAGCTCGGCCGCCACTGCTTCTCCCGCCGTCGACACAGCCCGGCCGCAACTTCTTCTCCCGCCACCGGCATGGGCCTGGCCGCCACCAACCCCACTGCGAGAGAGGAGAGGACGGAGAGAGGCGCCGCCAACCCCACCCTACCGTGGCTTCTTGTCCTGCCACCGGCACGGGCCCGGCTGCCGTCGCATCTCCCGCCACTTCTTCTCCCGCTGCCCACCCCGCACTACTGCCGACCCCATTGCGAGAGAGGAGAGGACAGAGAGAGAGAGAGAGAGAGGCGAGAGAGAAGATGAAGACGCTTGGTCTCGAGAGAGATAAGATCGTGGCCGAGTTAGGACATGGGAGGCAGATACACCAACCGGGACTAAATATCATATAGACTCGTTGCACTTTTAAATCGGGACTAAAAATGATTTTTAGTCCCGGTTTTTAGTTGAATCGGGACTATTGTGGTTTTTTACCAACCCACGAAAGATGGTTTCTCCAGTAGTGGTAGTATCTTGATTTCCAGTTTAATTTTCATATATACTAGCCCGAAAGTATGCTAGTGAAATATTGTTAAGCATGACAACTAGAAATATAGGATGGGAGAATCTCTGCCCTAACTAGGATGTACATAATCATTACACAGTTTGCACTATCATAGAATCCATCAAAAGGCCAAATACTCCTAACATGATAAACAAGAAAAAAAATCATGGTACAACAACCTAAAAACAAAAATAAAAGGGTTTCTCCCATACTTATATCTCTTCATTTTTAATATAGACCTCTTTGTGAAAGGAAGTACCAAAACTAATAGAGTATGGTGTAAGTATATTTTTGACTTTCCATCTTTTTTTAAGGTATATACCTCCAGACTTACACTTTGTGGTATATATATACCTTGATGTACCTCCTAACAACAAGAGAAGTCATGTCATTGCTAATCATAAACTTGTCTTCTGTTTACTTCAACTGATTTGTTTTTTTACCTTTGAAATAGGAGAGGTATATACCTCTCTAAATGTGGAAGAAAACCTAAAAGATATACCTTGTGGACCAAATGATAGGCCATTCGCATGAGTATGATAGTTGCATTAATTGCATATGCAACAAGGTTGTATTGTAGGTTCAGTCTGTAAACATTCAAACTTGGAAGGTTCATCATTCTGGCATAAAGACATGGAGGAAAGAAGGGAAGCCATGCACATCACCCTTCTCTATATTGTCTACGTTCAAGTCCTGGACTTGACATGGGTACTCGCATTTACAGTTAATTATTCTTTCAGTGGTAGACGACATACCCATTGACAAACGAGACGTCTTCGGTGACTTTATCAATCGCAAGATGTGCTGACTTAGACTTTTGGAGGTGCTCATAGGGGTAGAGACTATGTGTTCATAAGGGTGAGTACACTCACATTGTGAGCGCCTATGTTAGAACCGTGTTTCTATAGAAAAAAGGGCCACACCTATATTGGCATGGCAGGAATGATACATACAACTAAGATTGCCTTCATTTTTCCCGCTTCATATATATTGAGTTTAGACTAGAAATTTTCTGGAGTTGTAGATATCATTGTACTCTGTATAATCAAATATTTTAGAATCTTTCATGACTGTTTGTATCATACACATAATAGAACATCTCTTGAGGGCTTAGAATTCTTGTTCAGAAATACATATACTTTTTATGTACCAGCTACATGAGTAATGACATAGAGACATATATCAATCACCTTTGTAGAGGTGACTAGAGAGCTTGGGCTCAACAGCAACCTCTAGTGGGAACTTGCGTGGCATGGATAACCCGAATATCTCCTCCATGCTCAAATCCTCTTTTACCATGTCCTTCGGGAGCCTCCACGTGAAGCCATGAAGGAGATTGGCTATGCTCAATTGGATCACCTTAAGCCCAAGGTTGTAGCCTGGGCACATCCGTCGACCAGACCCAAATGGTAATAGCTCAAAGTCTTGCCCTTTCACATCAATTTTCTTACCCAAGAATCTCTCTGGCATGAACTCCTCCGATGCGTCCCATAGCGTAGGGTCACGGGCAATGGCCCACACATTAACGAATACACGCGTGCCCGTAGGTATGTCATACCCACCCACAGACGTATCCTCACGGGAAAGGCGTGGCGCAAGCAAAGGTCCGATAGGGTGAAGGCGCATGGTCTCTTTTACAATAGCCTCAATATAGGGGAGATCAAGAATGTCCTTCTCGTTGACCCAACGTCTATGGCCGACAATGCGATCCAATTCCTCTGTGGCCTTTGCAAACATCTCGGGCTTCCTGAGGAGCTCCGAGATGGCCCACTCGATTGTCTCCGATGAACTCTCCGTGCCGCCAGCAATGAGGTCCTACACATGCCGTTTTGGACTAGTTAACTCAGAAACGACTTACTAGTCTGTCCCAAAAAAATCAAACCCTGGATATGAATCTGGACATATGTATATCCAGATTCAGACCTAGGGTTTGATTTTTTTTTTTGGGACGGAGGAGGTAACATCTTAATTTGATTATATTCTTGTAATGTGTTCTCCTTGAAAAAAAATGTGCATTTTCTGCAGTTGTCCACGTATGTGATTGATTGGTTGTGAAGACAAATTGGATTAATATTTTTTGACAAAAAAATGGATTAGTATTTGTCAACTATGAAAAAAAGGGTGCACTGAAGTAAAAAATATTATGCACGGCGACCTATAGTGATATTTACTCCTATATATAAGCCAATAATTTTTGGCGTCATGCATGTAAGAAATTCTAGTTTCATATATACTCCCTCCGTTTTTTAATAGATGACACCGTTGACTTTTTTCTACATGTTTGACCATTCGTCTTATTCAAAAAATTTACGTAATTATAATTTATTTTGTTATGAGTTGTTTTATCATTCATAGTACTTTAAGTGTGATTTATATCTTATACATTTGCATAAAATTTTTGAATAAGACGAATGGTCAAACATGTGAGAAAAAATCAACGGCGTCATCTATTAAAAAATGGAGGTAGTATGTTTCAGTCATTTACACTTCACAACTCATATACTAAATTTGCACAGCATATTAGTATGAACTTTTGAACTTCCAACGTTCCAAGCCAGTTATTTGCTTGACTTATTCTTGGGGGAGAATAATTAACTTTTTTTTGGTGGAGGAGAATAACTGATTAATTTTGCCTATCAAAAGGTTTACCGTGTAATCATTTTGCTTTTGGGATTTCATAAAATGATTCCTACAATTCTATATCTGCAGGTTTAGAAAGGTCCTGTGGTCCCACCTTTTTAAGTTTGTTATATGTGTGAGCAAAGCTAGAACCAACATTTAGCCTCATGGAAAATTCTTACTTCCTCCGTTCCAAATTACATATGTTTTTTTTAGAAAATCAAACTCGGTAATTTTTTTTATTAATAATTGTACTAATTATATTATGCATGTTATATTACTAGATTCATATTTTTAAGTACTTTTATGTGATGCTAATTTCATAGTTGAGAACATAACATGTAGTAAATTAATAGTCAAAGTATGTTATTAAAGACCGTGTAAAAAATACATGCCTTATTACCTTATAATATGGGACGAAGGTAGTAATTTGGAAGTAATCTAATATGATTTCATTAGAGAACAAAAGAGTTTTCAACTTTGCCCTTATTTGTTCTTATACTTTAATTAACATCTCAGATAATTCCTGGGTGTGCTGTACCCCCCCTAACATGATGTAACTACTGGCTACTGTTGTTCACCTTCTTGCATTGAGCAAGCCTGATGGGAACGAATAGATGAGACCGCTGGAGTGACTTTTCCTTTTCATTATTCCCTCTATTTTATATTACTTATCATTTTAGATTTAGTCTAATTAACTCAAACATGTCTATCTTTAACCATTAATATTTAGAAATCCGTATAATTTAACAACATGTGAATTATATATTATATTAAAGTATTCTCATGATGAATCCAAAAGTATAAATTTTATGATGTAAAACTACATGAGTTTGTAGAAATTGAAGTTAAAGATCAAAATGTTTGACTTAAAACAAATCTTGAACGTGATAGGTAAATTGAAACGGAGTATTTGAGGAAGTATGGAGGGACTAATATACTTCACTGGGATTTTACCATAAGGTTAGGCATTAGCTTGTCCTTAATTCCTGCGCAAATCTGGAGGACTCCTTTAGACAAAATGAAAAATCAACCACCAAATTGACCTGTGGACGAAATTTGGGACAAAATTGTCTATTCCCCTTGATTGATATGTCCTTCCTCATTCCAAAAGTCTAAAACTTATTTCATTCTTTGGTTTTTCTAAAAGTCTAAGTTCTATTTTTTAGTCATTATGTGCTAAATTAAATTATTGATGAGAACCAAGAAACCATTTTAGTACTTATTAGTTACATGTTCATTGGTTTTGTCACAACGTGAGTGATTTAATTGATTCTTAGTCTTGGGGTGTGTTTAGTTCAAGCCAAAATTGGAAGCTTGAATGAAATTGGAAAGATGTGATGGAAAAGTTAAGAAGTTTGTGGTGTGGAAAAGTTTTTATGTGATAGAAAAGTTAGAAGTTTGAAGAAAAAGTTGGAAACTAAACCATGCTAGGACTAGTGGTGACCCCGGGACTAAATTTTAGTCCCTGTCACATTGGATGTTTAGACACTAATTTGGAGTATTAAACATAAACTACTTACAAAATTAATTACGTAAATGAGAGCTAATTTTCATGACAAATTTTTTAAGCCAATCAGCACATGTTTACTGTAGCATCACATAGGTTTATCATGGATTAATTAGGTTCAATAGATTTATTTTACAAATTAGTCAGGGTTATAGAATGAATTTTGTCAATAGTCTACGTTTAATACGTTAAACATCTAATTAGTATTAAGCATCCGATCGATGTGACATGTACTGAAAATACCATCCAAACAGCCTAGACTTTTGGACGAGGGAGTACTACGATGTACGCTATGCAGTCGCTAACCTGAGTAAATGCCTTGATGCTGTCCCGACTAAGTTTGACCTCGAGGCTAGAATCATCGGCGAGTCGAAGGAGCACGTCCACCATGTCTCCTGCCACAAACCCGTTCCCCTCACGTTGCCTCCGCTCACTGTGCTCGTCCACGACGTGTTCGAGAAGCTGGTCTAACGCCTTGCTCACCTTCTTCATCCTCTTGACGTAGCCCTGTAGGTCCAACCACTCGAGCCACGGGATCTGGTCGCCGACATTGAAGACGCCGTTGAGAAAGAAGAGCTCTTCGAGCAACTCCTTGAACTGCGCCAGCGTCGTCCGCGCCGATCCCGGCTCCTCATGGACCACCTCGCCCTGCACGTACCTCTTGCCCATCACCATGCGAGTGATCATGTTCAGGCTCGCCGTGGACAGGTAGTCCTTAATCACGATAGCTCGTCGGCCGCCAGACGACGACGCGTAGTGCAGATCACGGAGCAGCGCGTGAACCTCCTCGCGGCGGATGTGCTCGTACGACTCGATCCGCCTGGCGCTGAAGAGCTCGGTGAGGACAACCCTGCGCGCCTGGCGCCAGTACGCGTCGCAGGGTGACCACGTGATGTCGCGGTAGTTGTAGGCGGTGTGCTTGCCGGCGGCCGTCCTGGGGCGGTCGATGAACGCCGCGTCGCGCGTCTTGAGGAAGAACCTGGCCATCTCGACGGACGAGCCGACGACGACGGGGAAGGACCCGAACCGGAGGTATACGAGTGGGCCGTAGCGCCTTGAGAGCTCGTGGATGGAACGGTGTGGGAGCGCACCGACGAGGTTTAGGTTGCCGATGATCGGCCATGGCTTGGGACCCGGCGGGAGGTTATACTTTCGACGGCGGCACCTCGTCGAGATGGCTTTTAGGAAGAGCATGGTGGTTAGCAGAATGGCAACAAAGGATGCACAGAGTGCTACCTCCATTAAGGCCGGAATTAAGAGGATGTTGTCTTCTAGCTGGATGGTTTAAGACGACTGTTGGGCTGCTGAGAGGAAACTGAATGGCAAGAGCTATTTGTAGGAGGCACAAGGACACAAGGTGTGAGGTGTGGCAAAGCTTTTCTGATTCTTTTCTTTCTCTTTCTCTTTTTCTTAGAGTAAGCCTAGAAGAGTCAAAGAGTGTGGGTGAAGGTTTAATTAATTGAGCTGAGAACATTGTTAGTGACTTTATAATTGACCTCTTCATGGAAACCAATATAGTATGGTCCCTGTGAAAACTCCACCACTCCAATAAGATGGGGAATGGGTTCTAATATGATAAGGGAATATCCTTCGTGTACTTTTTTTTTTCTAAATTCAATATAAATAGTTATGGGAAATTAGCAATATAAAGTATGTTGACATCTAATACTATAAAAAACAAGTTCAAATTCATCCTACGTATTGAGAAACATAATCAAGATAAGAGTCTCTAGCTGACAAGGGCGCAGAGCCGATTCATCCCTAACAAGTTCGATGACCTTGCTGAGCTATTATACCCAGCCTATTGATATAGATCTGCTAACATGTGGGCTCCATAAGCTGGCTCAGCTGGCTAGACCAATTTATCTAGCCACATAAGCGAAAACCACATTTAAAACAACCGAGGAAATTAAATTATAATGATTTTAATAGTTGATGTGTTATTGCAGTTGAGAGATCCTTAAATACTACTAGATCTATAGTTTAGATTGCTTTTAAGGGACTATCCTATCCGTGGACTCATATTAGAAGGAATCAAAGTGGACTTGTTCTCGCTTCGTTTCATCTGCCGTCATCGTCTGCCACTAGATCAGGCAGGCTCCGCTGCGAGCCCAGCTAGCCAGCACGCGGCGGCGGCCCACGGCAAGCGCGGCACCGCTGCCGACCGTGAACGTCGCACCGTGCGCGCGCCCACACACAACACAGCTAGCCCCAAACCCAGTGCCCCCCCACCGTTGCTAGCTGGAGTAGGCCGGTCCGGCCTCCGGCGCGCTGCCGCTGCGCAGGCAGAGGGAAAAGCTTGGTACTAAAGTGGGTAACAAAAGCAGCGACATATACTGGTGACAACGTGTGTTCCCGGTCCCATCGCCTGCCCGGCCGGCTGAACCTCGTATGTTGCTACTACCATCATCTCTCGGGGTGTGAGATCCCTAGACGCACGGCGGCGAGCTTTCCATCGATGGAAAGGAAACAACAGATCGAGCAAATCCGCGGGGAGTTTGACTGTTTGAGCGATGAGGAGCGTGCTGAACTAGTCCTGCAATTCATTTATCGATCAGTCCGTCTCTATCAAATGGTGATTGTGAGAGGAGACCTAACGCATGACAGCAAATTAGCCGTTCGAAAAGAAAAAAAAAAGAGAAGAGACTGTACACTAGTACAAAACCTGCGCTGGTGATTAGCGGGTGACTGGGCGTCGTCGACCGGCGAGGCCCACGAGTCCACGTGAATCCGCCACGCTAACCGCGCGCGACGTGCAGCTCCAGCTGCCGGCCCTGACCGGCGCACGTCTCTCAGTGAGCCGTTCCCGGTCGGTGGCGTCGTCGTCGCGCGCGAGACGGGCCCATTTGCACGCTCCTGTGACCAGTCCACGTCGGCGAGGGCCCAGCGAACAGACGGCTCCATCCTCGCATGGGCCCGGGAAAGCTCCAGTTGGGCCCAGATTCCCCGATGAGCGCTCAGGTGACGTTCCGGCCTGTCGCAGGCCCACGGTACAGTCGAACGTTGGCGCCCCCCGTCCTCGACTCTCTCCTGCCGTTCCTCCCGTCACACAGCTAAAATGAATCGCATATGCAGTGAATGAGACTCTGAGAGCCCAGTTTAAGGTAGGAGTAGCATCAAATTCACTAGTCCTATACACCGGCACGTCGTCGCAGTGCAATTTTATACGATCTTCATGTGTGCATCAGTGCATGCTGTTTGCAGAAGGGAAGTTGGCCGCCTGCCCGTGCTGAGCTCAACTGAACGCTGGCTGCCTGCATGGCCAGTTCGTGACTACAGTTACTACGCATACTACCCGGGGTAGCAGCGGCGCGCTATCAGCTCTACCCGGAGTAGGCAGTAGCAGCAGTGGTGGTAGTAGTAGAAAGCGCGGCAGTGGAAGGGATAGAGGAGTGCCCACATTAATAACTCGTTTCAAATCGGACGGCGTGGCTACTCTAGTACACCCATTTCAACGGGACGTTCCACTCCACTCCACCGTAACTGCGCGCGTGGGGCGACCCCATCACGTGCCACGGTACGGGGGCGTCGCTGACCGTCTCTGGCCCACCGCAACCCTGCTCCCCCAATCCAAACCCCGCGCTGCACGTCTCGCTGGCACTGGGCATTTCGATCCATCGCGGTCGCGGCCGCGGTATCACGACTGACGCGCGGGGCCGGCCCGGCACGCGAGACCGATGTAGACGTGTCACCGGGGAAGCTTGTCCGCTCGCGGTTGCCGCTGCGCGGGGGGGAGGGGAGGGCGTCGAGCCGTACGTCGTCGTCGCATACCTCGGTCGCGTCCCTGTCAAAGCCGGCCATCGCTGCCGGCTGCTCAATTTATTCCCTTGCTGTTTCATTTCGTACGTACTCCGCGCTCGGGATGCGGCCATAGCCATATCGCCATATATCTCGTGCAGGCACCGTCACGCTCGCTCGGCAACTGTACGTGCCGTCTCAGGACGCGGCAGTCAATGCGGAGTTGGTACAAACTTGCGATGAAAGGAGTGGTACTGTGGTACCACCACTGCCCTGTCTTTGCACACATCAGTCTTCCCGGAGTTTAGCTCAAGGAACGTGGGTGGGGGTGCTGTTTGTGTTTGTGTGTAGTTTTTGCCAATCCAAACAAATTGGCAAAGGGGGCTGGAAGAGTCCATGGTATTTCCCCTATTTGATTTGCAATTTGAACTGTGCAAAAAATAACGCGTGATTTCATCCCTGTACCACGGGACGAAGGATCGGCTTTGCATGGTCTGGGGAATCATGGCCCCATACCGGAGAAGTACCGGGCCCACGCAGCCATGATCCATCCCTCGAGACGGCCCGGCGACAGCGTATCCAACGTAGGCTCGGGCCCACGTCGCAGTGGAACAAAGCCCACAGACACAAAACCCCACCCCCCGCTCGCTGTTGAACTCTCTCTTCCCTCTCTCTCTTTCTCTCTCCAAACCCCACGCACGCCGCGTCGCCGCCTCCTCCTCTCCATCTCCGCTGCTATTATTGCCCGCGCAGACGCAGGCCACCATCCTTCCTCTCGCTCACGCTCGCTGCTATATGGGGGTCCTCCTCATCGCATCGCATCGCATCACCTCGCACGGGCGCGCGCGCCGTGCCGTGCCGCTAGCTCGATCCGCCTCGTACGCCAGCTCGCTCGCTCGCTCCCCCACCCCGCTGCTGCACGGCTGCGCCCGCGCTGTCCCCTGTCCCCCCGCTCGCCGCGGCGATTTATACCCACCACGCCCCCTGCTGCTGCTATAATGCCCATGAGTGAAGGCGGCGAGGGGTGGTTCTGAGTTGGCCGTTGGCGTGCTGCGTGTGGAGATGGGGGAGGAGGCGGTGGTGATGGAGGCGCCGAGGCCCAAGTCGCCGCCGAGGTACCCGGACCTGTGCGGCCGGCGGCGGATGCAGCTGGAGGTGCAGATCCTGAGCCGCGAGATCACGTTCCTCAAGGTGAGCGCCCCGCGGCGGCGGCGGCTGCGTTTTTCTCTATAGGTTTCTCTTTCACACTCGCTCGCTCGAAATTCTCGGGGCCCGAGCTCTACTTGCTTCGTCTTCCTTTGACTTTACCGATTAATTTTAAAAAAAAGGAGATCCGATTCGCCGCGCATTTTTCAAAACCCAAGCGGCCGAGTACGGAGCTACCCGCTACTGCAAGTAGGATGCTGTGAAGTGTACAGTAATGGCGTTGTTAATTGCGGTAGCTAGTGCTATTCTAGTACTTGTAGTACTGTTTCTAGGCGGAGGTGAATCACGGCGCCATCAATCCGAGGCTGGCGAGACAAGCTTGGCCCTCTTTGGGCGTGGCGCCATGGCTGTACTACCTTTGTCGTTGTTTGGTTGGGCTCCTCGTTGGAGAAAAGAAGAGCGTGGGCATGGACAACTGACCTGAGTGGCCTTGTCAGGGAGAGCCATAGCAGTGGACGTGTCTATCTCCGCCATTGCTTCGTCGACACTGGACGTGCAGACGGCATGGCCATGAGGGCTTTGCACGATGGGTGGTGCCGTGTTGGTGTTATGGGCTGCCACCATGGTTTGAGGCTTTTGATGTTGCTAGATTTTGTGTTTAACGAGGGAGGGAAGAATGTGTTGTTCTTGACACTGTGCTGTGCTTTTAAGGAGCAGAGATTTCAGAAGCTCTTCAGATATCAGAGAACTTCTTTGTAGTAGTAATCAAATGCGCTTTAGACATCTTTTTATCGTTTCTTGCAAGGTCAGTCCCTGCTTTGGTACCCGATCTCGCTTTTGTGCAACATCAAAGTTACACTTACACAGTAAAGCAGGAATCTTTATGGGACCGTTCGTACTGGTCAATTACTCCAGGCTTTGATTAATGGGTTTTAAGTTTTAACCGCAGATTTGGTACAAGTAACAACCTTTATTTACTTTTTATTTCTGCAACTGTGTCTTTTAACATGAAAGAATCCAGCTCCATTCAAAAGTTTAGTTTTTATTTTCCATTGTGGTGCATGGTCACTCAGCCTGCAGTACTGAATTATCAAAATTTTCTTTTGTCATTTCTCTCATGTTAAGTGCATAGTCTATTTTACTTCAACAGGTAGAAAAACTTTTGTGGGTTTGTTTCTAGCTCAAGGAGGAAATTCATGGGTTTGCATCTAGCACATGAGAGAACAATATTGGTCTAACACAAAGCTCCTTTTGTAGGATGAGCTTCACTTCCTTGAAGGAGCTCAGCCCGTTTCTCGTTCTGGATGCATTAAAGAGTATGTACTACTGCCCTTCATGCATTACAGATATTTTGTTTTTAAGTTTTTAGAAATTTGAAGAGCTTATGTCAAGTATGAAATGTCAGCTTAATTTTATTGCTGTCCTTATCTAATGTCTTATGCTCTGTTTTATAAAATTTGGTTGCATTTTCTCCCCCAGGGAAAAATCTTGTATAAGTGTGTTATGTACTTATGTGTATAAAATCTTGTTGCACTTGTATGTCACACTTAGGCCCTGTTTAGATCCTCCAAAATGGCAGTTTGCCATTTTGAAGAACCTTTTGCCATTTTGGATCTAAACACTAGTAACAAAACTTGGCAATTTGGCATTTGGCATTTGCTAGTCTATAGTAGCAAATTGTGCCAAAAAGTGCTTTGGAACCACTCTCTCTTTCTTTCTCTCTCTCACTTTAGTGCTAGAATGGTAAAAGTTTAGGATGCATCTAAACACCAACTAGTACTTTTACAATACTAAAACTTTTGCCACCAAAACTTTTGCCATTTGCCATTTGCTATTTCAAATGGATCTAAACAGGGCCTTAGCAAATCACCATATGTTAAAATTACCTTGGGATGAAAAAGAAAAAGGAAACCAGCATTGAAGTCTTGTTTGAAATGCATATGTACTTGTACCATTACAGAAATTCTTAAAACTGCTGTCTTGACAGCTACTTATCAAACAGCCCCACCTGCATCATAACGTTCCTAGTGGTGCCTATAACTCTGCCTCAGTTATTATTTTGTGGCCCACTGGTCCAACAATTTGAAAAAAATTATATTGAACTAAATATATTGAACAGTAGTATGACGTCCTCTTTGCTTGAGTTCCATATTACAGCTCACAGTCCTGAGATTTGTTTCACCGATTCTTTCCATGCGATGTGCACATATTCTTATTCAATTTAAAAAATGAAAGCAGATTATTTTTAACAAGTAACCTATCACGTTAGCTTAACATTGTATATTTGTGGTGGAATTATGTAATATTCCGATATCGCATTTGAAGTTTTGAACATGTGTGCTCAAATTGAGGGACACATGACTGTAGTGAAAGCAAATATAAATGTCTGAGCAATGGACTATACTTTGTATTCATTACTACAAGTTATGTCCTTTTGCAGGTTGCTAATGTCCTCTTACATTACTTGTCAGGATAAATGAGTTTGTTGGTACAAAACATGACCCACTAATACCAACGTATGGCCTCTAAACTTTCAGTTCCCCCATTTTAAGCATGTTCGCTGTTTATTTACGAGTTTTGACATTGTTTTTTCCTTTTCCAGAAAGAGAAGGAGGCACAGATCTTGCCGTCTTTTTCGGTGGATCGGGTATGTTTTGATCCAATATAGTTTGCTCGCAGGTTCTGAGGGGCAAGAACATTCAAATATCTATAATGTTTTCTGTTGGATTCAACATTCATCACTATTTCCCTCGAAAAAAAAGCATTCGTCACTATTGGAATTGAAAGTCTGAAAGTGCCTCTAGTCCCTTTGTATGTTAAAAGTCAATAAACAAGCAGTAGTTTTCTATATGCCACATTAATATTATTGACGCATTTTAAAAAGCAAACTAGTCCAGGGATGTAATCATCTTTGTTATCTAAAACTAAAAAAGGAAAAACTAGTGCTTTTTTACATTAACATTGATTTTTTTGCGGCTGAAATTACATGTAGAAACTTTGGCATAATAATCTGTACTACTGCCAAACTGAGCTTTTACATGGTGAAAATATTTTCCCTGCAGATCAAAATTGTGTATCTGCATTTCATGTCTTTGCTACTGTTGCAAGTGCTCACCCAAGTGCAAAAGACCAAGGTGCCTCAATTGTTCTTGCAGCTCATGCTGCGACGAGCCATGCTGTAAGCCAAACTGCAGTGCGTGCTGCGCTGGGTCATGCTGTAGTCCAGACTGCTGCTCATGCTGTAAACCTAACTGCAGTTGCTGCAAGACCCCTTCTTGCTGCAAACCGAACTGCTCGTGCTCCTGTCCAAGCTGCAGCTCATGCTGCGATACATCGTGCTGCAAACCGAGCTGCACCTGCTTCAACATCTTTTCATGCTTCAAATCCCTGTACAGCTGCTTCAAGATCCCTTCATGCTTCAAGTCCCAGTGCAACTGCTCTAGCCCCAATTGCTGCACTTGCACCCTTCCAAGCTGTAGCTGCAAGGGCTGTGCCTGTCCAAGCTGTGGATGCAACGGCTGTGGCTGTCCAAGCTGCGGATGCAACGGTTGTGGCTGTCCAAGCTGCGGTTGCAACGGCTGTGGCCTTCCAAGCTGCGGTTGCAACGGCTGCGGCTCGTGCTCTTGCGCCCAATGCAAACCCGATTGTGGCTCGTGCTCTACCAATTGCTGTAGCTGCAAGCCAAGCTGCAACGGCTGCTGCGGCGAGCAGTGCTGCCGCTGCGCGGACTGCTTCTCCTGCTCGTGCCCTCGTTGCTCCAGCTGCTTCAACATCTTCAAATGCTCCTGCGCTGGCTGCTGCTCGAGCCTGTGCAAGTGCCCCTGCACGACGCAGTGCTTCAGCTGCCAGTCGTCATGCTGCAAGCGGCAGCCTTCGTGCTGCAAGTGCCAGTCGTCTTGCTGCGAGGGGCAGCCTTCCTGCTGCGAGGGACACTGCTGCAGCCTCCCGAAACCGTCGTGCCCTGAATGTTCCTGTGGGTGTGTCTGGTCTTGCAAGAATTGTACAGAGGGTTGTCGATGCCCACGGTGTCGTAACCCATGCTGTCTCAGTGGTTGCTTATGTTGATCTAGATCCTTTTTTGGTTGTTGTTTTTCTTGTATTTTTTAGTTGTTAGGCCTTTGATTAAGTTCGAACTTTCATAAATATATGGTGTTTATCCTGTAAAGAAATGATGATTTCAAGGATTTTTCATAGCTATGAGACGAGGTTGAACCATTGAAGCGCCAATAGACCGTGAAGATATGGAGCCATACACGCTGAATAATTTTTCTGACAGGGTGAGGTCGAATTGGCTGCCGTTTCGCGAGGACTTTTGCTGCGCGACGGCGAGGACAGCCGGGGTCCCACCTGTCAGCCAGCTTTGCGAGCTCAATGTTTTTATTTCCGCCGTTGCTTCACCACGCCGCCCGGCAAATTCGGCCCGTCAACGACGGTAGGCCTATATCTCTAATATTGAAATCCATGCAAATTATCGAACGATTAGCGGTGTCACGTGACATGGCGTGGTTCAGCACTCCCACACTTAAAAAGGACTAAAATATAAAAAACAATTTTACGTTGGAGTAAAATGAAAAACTGCAAAGCCACCTGATGTCTCCGGAAGGGACACGAATCTTCTTACGTTGGAGTAAATATGGAACCTGATGTGGCCAGTACCTCTGCGGCGAGCACGTCCTGCACCGCCGAGGACGAGGTCAATGACCTGCAATCACATGTATTAGTGATATAAAATGATGAAGGAAAAAACACTGACTACGGCTTCATTCAGATAAAGGATAAAAAGAAGCGTTCTACTTGATAACTTCTCTAATCAAGATAGCCTACTTTTACTATTTAGAGTCCAAGATGGACACTTGTTATCTTCTCATCTACAAGCCAATTTACTTTTGGTGTATCTAGCACTGACAAGAACTTGGACTCATTTACTCGCCAATTACTCTAATGCAAAATTGACATGGAGCTTTATTAAAATCTTCCATTATTTAAGCTCTAGATCAAATGTCTATAATATGTTACATAAGGCTGGTTTGGTTTAAGGCCTAAATTAGGCTTACCAATATTTGACAATTTCAATAGTGTTTAGTGTCTATTTGGTTTGAAGCCAAATTTTGGCATGCCTAAGAAAATAGGCCATTTCAATAGTGAACTTAGGCTATTTTGGCTTCAATCCAAACACAACTTTACCTTACCAAAATTAGTCATGCAAAACTTGCCAAAATTTGGCATTGTCAAATTTTGGTAAGGCCTATTTAGATCTCAAACCAAACCAACCCATACTCTTCAAATGAGTGTTACAAACTTCCAGTTCTTATGTTAAGTAATCTTTGTATATAAATAGCCACAGTGTTTTGTTCTGTAGTTTCATAAATTAATCTTTTAAATTTAGTACTCTGCTACAATGAGAAACGCCTAGGGGTTTTTCGGCTAGCTCCACAAGATGGTGGGCTAGCTGATCTGGGTTCGCAGCCTCACCCCTTCTATTTATTTGGTATTAGGCAATTTCTTAATATTCACGTTTTTTACTCTGCTACAATAATCATGATGTGCAATATAGTATTTTGCTATAACTTGCAGTGCACTGATCATTATGTCTCAATAGGGTCAAATAGCGTGGCCCATCGAGTGTTGCACGTGGCAACGCCGCGTGTTATTTTCTAGTATATGGACCGAAAGTACGACGCCAAGAAGTGTCGGCTGTTGATTCGGCCCTGATACAGACAGGAAGTGGATAGGAATAAATCTATGTGCATCCCTTATATCTTCCCTCGGTCAATCACATCCCTCAGGCTTCAACCGCAGAACCAGATATAACGTCTCCCAACTTCAAAAACGGATACAAATTGACTTATCCAGTGATTTTGAAAGCGGTTTTGCCGATGTGGCAGGTTGCCTTTGGTCCAAGTATACTGACGTGGTAATCCAATCATCAAAGGAATTGAAAATAAAAGCGAGTCCTGTAAAACCGGGAAACGGAATCGGATACGGTTTCCCAATCATCATATCAAATAAAAAGGCAGCAACAGGCTAATCCCAGGGATTAACTAAAATAATATTTTGTGAGTCGACCAATTGTATAGTACGGAGATAGTACTTGTCAGGCTGAAGATAAAATTCGTCATGAGTCCTTTAGAGATAATATTCCGAGGATTAAATGACATGCCGAATTGATGAAACGAACAGAGGGGACAAAAGCACCACTAGTCTAGTGAATTACTCCATCAAATTCGATCACTGAAGCACCGTATCTATAGTTGCGAAATCATGGTGGATTCGTTCAATAGTACCTAAATGAGCGGTAACCTTGAAGTTGCAGAAGCGACGGATATGCTTGGAGTCATCATTTTTGCTGACAGCCACCGCCGCACCCACCGGCGTAATCTTGAAATCCAGAATTAGCACAGTGCGTAGGGGTGCGGCAACCACAAAGTCACCGAGATATGATGGCTTAGCAACGATGCCATCGAAGAGCTTGATTTCCTCAGGTATTTGGTGGACTAAGCAAGAGAGGGATAGGTGTATGCCGTCATTTATTAGCCTCAGAATCCTGACTTGTATAGTGCCTTCCTTCCCATCGCGGATAAGTGCTAAGCTGATATCTACGGTGCCATGGATGCCATGGATCCGCCGGCTATACACCCCGTGGAATGGTGTAAGGTCGCTGAAGCTGGTCACCCCGTCGATGAGCTACAAGTCATCCTTTTCCTCCTCCCCTTTCTTGATCTTGAGGTCGTACTCGATCAAGGCAGGGTTTTGCAGCGAGATGCCTCGCTTAGGGCCCGACATTTTTATGAGCGAATCGGGATCGGAGTAGTGGCCGGGCAGAACGAAGGGATCATCCCGGCTGCGGTTGAAGACATAGTTACGCAGTGGTTCATATAGGTCCCTGGCAGCCATGAAGCCGTAGATCTGAACCGGAGCGCCGCTGTTGTCATCGGCGGCGGCGGACAGAGCTGCTATCTTGACGGAGAAGATTTGCATCATGCGGCAGCCGACGTGTACCTCACAAGCGTTCCAGCATGGGCGGCAACGATCGGTCGGACTCGTCAGCCTTTTGGGCCACAGGCGAGTCTCGCGGGTGTCGCCCAGGCGGTAGTGGCGGTGGAATGGGTGGGAGTCGGGCCTGTAGATGGATCCGTCGCTGTGCTTGCAGCCCATGAAGCCGTAGGTTTCCGGCACATAGTGGTCGTCATCGATTTCGTACAAGAATTCCTCTTGCTCTTCTTCCTCGTCCTCCGAGTTGTTCTCCTCCTGGTGTTCATCCTCCGTGTTGTTTGGATCGAGGGAGCTAGGAACCTGTGACTTCTCTTCGTTCCCCTGCGACTCCGGCCACCGCCGATCGCCGGCGTCGCCTCCGCTCTCCATGGATGGATCTGTCGATCGACTAATCATCCCTGGGATTAGCCTGTTGCTGCCTTTTATCTGATCTGACTGGGAAACCGTATCCGATTCCAACCGGACTCCGTTGTCCCTTTCCCGGAGGGAAGTCCAGCGGCGACACCGGCCCACGACAACGAGGCCGACGGGAATTGGATCCAGTATGGGCCGTCAGTAATGGGCCTAAAATATCGCTTGGGCAGTTGGGCTGCTCTTCTCTACTGGGCCTCTACATCCTGCAATGTTCGTCACGTGCGTCCCTCCGACCCTCCCCACGCTTTTCTCCGAGTCTCCGACCCCAGTCGAAACTCGAAACGCGGTGGGTTTCTCTCTCCTCCTCGATCTGCAACGGCGAACCGGCGATCGCGCCGGAGAGGAGCGGGAGATCGCGGCGGCGTGCCCCTCGCGGGCGATCCACTGGAGTCGTGCTTCTCCGCCTCCGTTCAGGACTTGTGTTTAGATCGAAAGTTTGATCCAAACTTTAGTCCTTTTCCATCATATCAACTTGTCATACACACACAACTTTTCAATCACATCATCTCCAATTTCAACCAAAATACAAACTTTGCGCTGAACTAAACATAGCCCTGATCCAGGACGAGCACCTCAACGGTGTCTGGGCTGTTTTCGGAATGGAATCGAGCAGATGAAGGTAAATTTTTGTTTTTCGCTAACTAGTATGGTGACCAGTGTAGATTGGGCAGCTTACATCATTATATTTTTTTTCTCACATGACAGCATATATGTGTTCACATTTTATTATTAAAATATATTAAATAGCATCATAATTTTAAATTATATACTAACTTGACCAAACTAATCACAATGTGTAATATTCATATTATATTATATATACGTGATAGTTATTAATTATTATTTAATTAAAATTTTAATTATTTTTAAATTATATTTTTTTGAACCCTTCTTTAAATATTCATTTTTAATAATACTAGAAAAAATATCCGTACGTTGCAACGGGTGAAGTATATTTTAATTTTATTATTGTTAAATGGTTTAGTTAAGATAAATTCATTGTGGGAGCGCAGTTAGGAGCCCGATCGTCTCAAGTTAGCATGCGAGTTTTTTTAAACAGATTTCTTATATGATTCCTTCTGTATTATCAAAAGTGAACGATCTTAAGAACCAACTCAAATACGGATATATATTTCCAAAATCAAATGAACTTAAAAACCGACTCATAGACAGATGACATACCAAAATACCGGTAAAAATATCTTTAATTTTTATAATAGTAGAGAAAAGATATAGATTAAAACCAAAACATAAAATTAAAACCGACTCAAACACGGATGACGAACCGTGGAAACATTTTCATATTTTGTAACCAACACAAACACGGATGATCGTCTCAAGTTAGCATGTGAGTTTTTTTAAACATATTTCTTATATGATTCCTTCTGTATTACTAAAAGTGAATTATCTTAAAAACCGACTCAAATACGGATATGTAGTTCCAAAAGCAAACGAACTTTAAAACCGACTCATTTATGGATGACGTACCAAAATACCGGCAAAAACATTTCAATTTTTATAATAGTAGAGATATAATATATTCCTTATTTTTAAATCCTAAATTTTGTTTATTTCTAAATTATACTCCCTCCTTCCAAAAATCTGAGACCTATTTCTTTTTCATCAAAACCAAGAAGCAATTAACTCACTCACCCTGTGGCAAAACCAATGAACATACAACCAATATGTAGTAGAATAGTTTCTTGGTTTCCGATCATCAATTTAATTTAGCACATGGAGACTACAAATAGGACTCAGATTTTTGGAGAAACCAAAGAATGAAATAGGTCTTAGATTTTTTGAAGGAGGGAGCATTCCAATATGGACTCTAAACTCTGTTCTAATAATTTTTTCTTTATTCCGAATTTATGTTATTTATAAATAAGATTTCTATATGTACTCTACCCTCTTCTTTCGATATTTCATTTTTAATTCCAAATTTTAGTTATTTTTTAAAATTGTATTACTGTATGAACTCTACGTTCTTCTTCTAATATTTCTTTTTTCTTAATTCTAAATTTCAGTTATTTCTAAATTTCTTATGTAGACTGTATACTCTTCTCCCAATTTTCTTTTTTTATTTAGAATTTTAATTCTTTCTAACTTGTATCTCTATTGAACTCTAAACTTTACTTTTAATTTTTTTATTTACAATTAATTCTAAATTCCTATACATATTCTAGACTTTTCTTTCAATATTCTTTTTTATTCTAAATTTTTATTATTTATAATTTGTATTTCTATATGGACTCTAAACTCATCTTTCAATATTCCTTTTTTTAATTCTTAATTTTATTTATTTCTAACTTATATTCATATATGGAATTATGGACTGTAGACACTTTTTTAATATTTCTTTTTTAATTTAGAATTTTTGTTATTTCAAAGTTGTATTTTTATATGGACTCTAACATCTACTTTTAGTTTTCTTATTTTTTAAAATTCCGAATTTTAATTAGCTCTAAATTGTACACCTCTACGACTCTAGTCTCCCCTTCTAATATTCCTTATTTTTTAATTCCGAATTTATACTATTTTTAAATTTAATTTCTATATGGGCACTATTTTTTTTCTTCGATTAATATAAGAGTTTCTAGATCATGAGAGTGAATGTGTAGGCTCATTTTCTATCACTTTAATAAGTTACTTATATGGACTCTAGTTTGCTCTTCAATATTTCTTATTTTTTAATTTCGAATTTGTACTATTTTTAAATTTTATTTCCATATGAACTCTATTTTTTTTTCTCCGATTAATATAAAAATTTCTACACCATGAAAGCAAACGTGGATGCTCCTTCTTCTATTAATTTAATAAGTTAATAGAAGCTTCTTTCCACTGATATTACCGATCTGTATATGATTCGAAGTCTCGAACAAATTAAGTAGTTTAGACTGAACTGGGTTCAGTGTAGATAGCGAACAGTAAATTCTTCAGATAAATGATGATGTAACAGTATGATTAATCGTTGATGTGTCAGCCCTCGGCCCCGGCCTAGATAGGTTATTGACGATGGGTAATTGGGGTCATGTGAGGCCGTCGTTAATCCACTCATCAACATCAACTTATGTCTTGTGAAAATGTCTTCATCAAAGAAAAGAACTTTTGACAGTGTCAATTTTATCACATTTTATAGTTTGCTGTCTTTCTTTTATATTTTCGGATTCTCAGTTTCAATTGCAAACACTTGCCAATATAAACCGAAAACGAAAAGGGGCAAAAAAAAAAAAAGAAGCATGGGGCATCCTTTTAACTAGACCATTTGATTGCGTACAACATCCAACAATCCTTGCAAATCCAAGCCTAACTTTTCATCACACTATTTTGCATTCCTGTATTATCTTACACCCACCCACTGTCACCATCAAGAAGAAAGCTAAAAAATGACAACACCAAAAACTAAACCCAATCAAATGTGGCATTCTGCCACACCCTCACCAGCATATGTACATGCATGACCTTTTTCTCCTACTCTGTTCCCCACCTCTATTCCTATGCTCCCCTCTCCTTGTTGTAGCTCGCCGTCCTCCGGTGTCGTCGCAGCGCACCGGTGTACCCTCCTCCGATGACACCATCACGGTCATGCAGCACAATGCCAGCGTGAATCGCCGAGTCTGGGTACTTCTGTCGATGCCTGTCCTGATGGTTTTGGTGAGTGTTTTTCTTCTCCTCAACCTCAACCTTCATGTCCACCTTCATGTTAACCACCTTCTCGTCCTCCACAATGACAGTGAAGACAAATGGGCCAACTGGGAAGAAGTCATCCATGCCAAGCACAGGCTCCAGGGCTTTGACAACCTCCCTCATTGTGGGCCTGGACTTAGGGTTCTCACTCAGACACTTGTACGCCACCAATGCCGCCACCTCAGCACCCTGGCACGAGTACTGGCACTCGAGAGCAGGGTCCATAACCTTGTACAATTTATCGGCCCACTTGAGGTATGGTCTAGCCCAATCCACCAGGCTTTGTTCTCTCGGGCGTCGAGAGCGGTCCACTGACTTTCGCCCCGAGAGAAGTTCCAACAATACCACTCCAAAACTATACACATCGCTCTTAGCTGTTAAATGCCCCGTCATGATGTACTCAGGAGCTGCATATCCATGTGTTCCCATGACACGTGTCGTTACGTGCGTAGCGTCACCCTGGGGCCCATCCTTAGCTAGGCCAAAGTCGGACAGCTTGGTATTGTAATCCTGAAAACACACAAGTTGAGATTTAGTAATGTGAATGGAAGTGGGATATCAAGATATCACTTGCAAAGCTATTCATGTATTAATAATCCGTGGGCTACTTGGGTGAGGTGGATAATGACGGCTAGATATTTTTGATTAGGTGAATGATGTGAGGGCAGGATTGCTAGGATTTCTGAAGTTTGGCATGCATCTTCCAAAGTTCTAATCAGCCAAGTCAAGGCTTTTGCCCATAACGAACTGGGCCACTGCAAGCATAGTTCAGAAACGTGTGGCGCAGCTGGATATTTTTGCACGGTCATTGGAATGATTCAATTGGTCAAAAAGTTTAAATTCTCGATCAAAAAATGAAGTCATTTTTTGCGAAGGTTGTTTGTGGCAGCCTTGAATTTGGGCCCCAAACATTTACTAATTTCGCATTCATCCAGAAGTGACGTGTGCTGCCTGACTGACCCCATTTGTTGGTAACTGAACTTACTGTTCCCAAATGAAAGGGACATTTCAGAAACCGTGTCATTTCTTGACAATGTGGTGTTTGAACTTTGAACTGTAAGTTCTAATCTACCATTGGAATAAATGAATAACAATTACACTACATTGGAACTGAATTGTAGGGTGGCTCACCAGGTCAAGTAAGATGTTGGATGCCTTGAAATCGCGGTAGATCACCGGCGGATCGGCATCATGGAGGAATGCGAGGCCTTTCGCCGCGCCGAGGGCAATCTTCATCCTTGTCATCCATGGAAGAGAACCATTGACAGCTGCAGGAGATAAATATGTTTCAAGTCAGTTTCCTCCTCCACATTGTTCAACAAGCTGTTTTTTTTTTGACAAAATGTGACCACCTAATAAAAACACATGAGTTTTTTTTTTTGAAAAGAAACATGAGTTTTTATATTTGTTGAGTCATATAACAGCTCACCTAGAGACCTTGACTTTGAGAAAAGGGAGAAAAAAGGGAGGAACTAAAGGCAGGGAGACAGGAACAGCTCATCGTAAGTGGACGACCATATGTCACCCATACGTGCTCAAATTTCTAAGTTGCGTACTCCCTCTTTCTTTATTTACGAAAAGATGTGGAATTGGGTACTCCTTTTTTAACTTTTTGGTCTCAAAAAACTACTGTACTCTCAAATTCGACCAAATCAACCTGATTCAAGTTGAAAGACAAGGACTCACTTTTGAAGAGATGCTTCTCCAAGCTCTCGCCGCTCATGTACTCGTACACCAGCATCCGATGCTCGGCTTCATAGCAGTAACCAATCAATTTCACCAGGTTCTTGTGCCTCAGCTGCCCAAGGAAGAACACCTCGGCCTACATGAACAAACCCAAATCCGCAATTCAATTAGGTGGATTCAATTAGCTGAATTGTGTTCGATTATCATCTGATCGATCGAGCTGGTGCATTGCCAAGAACGCTCTGTTTCGCACTCACCAGCCACTCCTTGTGGCCCTGCGTGCCGCAGTCCAGGTCGAGGTACTTGACGGCGACGTCCTGCGCGGCGAGGCCCGGGCGGAGGCCGTCGTCGACGGCGCCCTTGTAGACGGGGCCGAACCCGCCGCAGCCGAGGTAGTTGGCGCGGGAGAAGCTGCCCGTCGCGGCGCGGAGCTCGGCGTAGGTGAAGGCGTACAGGTTCGAGCCGGACAGCGTCAGCGACAGGTCCTCCGGCGACAGCGTCCCCGACGAGCTGAGGCTCGTGAACGACATCCTCGACGACGACCTCGGGCTGTCCCCCCTGCGCGCGATCCTCCGCCGCCTCGGCGCCGAGTCGTCGTCGTCGTGGACGGCAGCGCCGCCGCCGCAGCACATGAAGGACCTCCAAGATTGCGCGGCCATGGCAATTGAACCAAAGAAAATTTCAAAACAACCCGAGAGAGATCAGAACCAAGAAATGTGGCTAGGATCCGGGAAGAGCAGCTCGAGCTAGCAGAGGAGCTGAGAGATGGAGATGCCGGAGAGGGAAGAGGAGGAGGTGAGCCTTGAGGAGGGAAAGCTGGAGAGGCAGGGCCCTTTTATAAGTGTGGGCGACGCCATGGCTGCCGCACGGGCGGATTGCGGTTCGCGGCAAAAACCGCGGGTTGATGTGATAGCCGCAAACAGGGGAAGTAGGGGGGACATGGAACAAGACAATACTGGTCTATTAGACTAGTACGATAGAGGGTTGTTGGTGGGGTGGCAATCCTCAAACCAGGGTTGTTTGTTTACATTTCTGATCAAATTGACCCAAATTTTTAAAACTATGGAATTAGGACTGTGAGGGGCTTATCCGAACTTGAATGAATCTATCCACTATTATACTATTACGTTATTACTTGTTGAACCTAGTTTTTTCTTTATTTGTATGTGGAATCAATATTTATTGTAACTTGTCTACACATACTTCAAAACAATAGTTGAGAGCAAGAAGAAGAAAGAGAAAATATTGGTACTTCACTTAATATAAAAATATATAAATATTTGATAGTTAGTTGAGCCGCTCCATAAAAACCGCCGCGCCGTGATATCTTATCAGCGGTCGCGCGTAGTATGTGTTGTGGATTTGTTCGATGAGTGGCTGGTAGTCGGTAGGAGAAATATTATGGTTAAAACGAGCCCTTCTATGTGAATGGACTGATGACAGTTGATGATGAATGGCACCGATAATAACTTAAATATTAAAAAGGATTGTTCTTATTTTGTTACAGGTGGTTTTCACGACGACATCAGCCGTGGATTTGATCTCTCCTTAGTAAAGGCACCTTTATTTGGTTATTCAAGTAGCTTTATGGTTAACCATCCATACGTCCTACGAGACTCCAACTTTTGGTGCTTGCTGCTTGGTGTGCACAACCGCATATGATACTCTCCAACTTGACTTTGTGGATACTAACCGAGGTGGCTTATAAGTTAAAACGAGAGAGGTGGGGCCCCATCCAACAAGACGATGACACGTGGCGATGTAGTGTTAACATCACAATAATCTCACAAGCAATCTCAGTCATCCACGCCCTTCAGTTGCAAAATGGTCCAAGGCTAATCCCTAGGTGAATTTAGGAGGCTAATTAGATTACTAGAAGCTAGGACAAGTACTACTAATAGCTCTAGTTTGGGTGTAAAAAAAAAGAAGCTCTAGTTTGCTGCTTAATACTAGTTGCAGCGCAGAGGAATTTGATTCCAGCAGATCTTTGGCTCCTTTCCCATGGGCTTCAGCCAAAACTATCAAGTACAGAAGAGTTGCATTTGCAAGTACAGAAGTATATCGTCCACGTGCAGTATACTATCAGTCAATCTGTGACTCTGTGTCGTCTGCTTGCTACTTGCTACTAGAACCTGATGCTTCTGCTTTGGTTGCTTCCAGGATCTTTCTAATTTTATATCCTTCTCTGAACGAAAGGGACTGAAAATTGTTCGTCTGTTCTGTTCCCAAAGACATTGCATCTGAGTGCCCAATACCGTATCTGAACTACCCCACAAACAAATTCTCTGATGAATTATAGGCCAAAGGGAGGAGAACATGCTGTCGATTGCTACAGAGACAATTGAATTATGGGGCCATCCCAAACAGTCTGTGTTTAGGTGTCGGAGCTGTCTTGTCCGTCCATTTGATCAATTCAATTTTCTCCAAAGATCTTCAGGCGGTTGCATACTTACACGTTTGTAAATGAAGCGTGCACATCGGACCAGATTATTCTAATCGGTGCTATCCTCTTCCTGATACAGAGGATTATTTAGTTTATTCCTGAAACTTCTTGGGGAAAACTGAAGGAAACGGGACAGAAACCACAAGGTTTTTCTTGCCCAAGTGATGAAAGAAACGTCCTGACGTGGAATTCAGTCTCTTGGTTGCACAACTCATCTGGTGTCCTAATTAAAATAGAAATGATTATCACCATGAGGTTGAGATCACGCCCTGAAGGATTGGATTGTACGTTGTTCGTGTCATTTACTCATTTCTGTGTATATATCCACTTCTAGATGCTTCTTCTACTTCCCTCATATATAACGTGTAAATACATATATTTCTTTTTTTTCCAAAAAGTTAACCCTTCATATATAGTGCAATTAATGGGAATTTTACGTTTGGTTGGTGACATGTTTTGCCTTTTTTTTTTTTGTCTTCCTGCAACAGTAAAGCATACCATGCTTGGTTACACTCCAAAAGATTATGGTAAACGTTAGCCACGATCATCACGCACGCTGGACTTTGCACTGTACAGTTTCGTCATGCATGGGACCAGATTTGTTGATGGATTTGTACGTCAACCTTTGCACTCTCACCAACAATGGATATGACGGATAGATGGATGCACCGGCCAAACGGAAGAAACACAAATGCTGACGCCTGACAAAGGATCCAGGAAACGGCAGATCACAATAATTCAGAGGGATTCAACTCTTCCCAAAGAAGCAAGAGCTCGCCACGTACGTACCCACGCCCACCTGTAACGCGCCCCCCTCCAGCCACCGCGGTTCACCGAATCCCTCAAGCGGCCGACGGCGTCGTCGGCGTCGCATCGCACGAGCAACGCAGCGACACCGGCCGCCGACGAGGATCGGGTCAACCATCCGGAAAAGAAAACGAAACCACACATGTCGCGGTGCGGGACAACGTTGTACTACGTACTAACGCGGTCGTCGGTTCGGGCGTCGCTGCCACTGCCGCGGCGACGTGGCCGCGGACGCGCGATCGAGTTTGAGGCGAGCGAGTGGAGACACGTGTGGTGGGCGGGGCGCTGTGGGCGCCGGCGTAAAAGGGCAGGCAAAAAAAAGCCGCAGCCGCATCAACACCGGCGCGTACGTACGTGCGCGCGCGCGTGCGCTGCGGCAGCAGCGGCAACAGGTGTGAGAGCGTGAGACCTCGACGCGGTTCACAATCGCTCTTGCGATATCTCGGTGGATGCGTCATCCGCTCGCGGCGCGCGCGCCGAACGGGGGCGCGTCACGTGGAACGGTGGAAGCGGCCGGGGTCTCGCTGTTGGGCGACGTGGCCTCCGGGGCGCCGTCCGGCCCGCCGTCCGAGCGATGTCGTCGTCGCTGTCGGGTCGGGCGGTCGGGCCGGGGGTGTGGTCGTGCGGTGCAGCTAGCGAACGTGCATGAGGGCGCGCGCACAAACACAAAAAGCGCGCAGATTTTGCGCGTGGGTCAGTTGGGCTCTAGGGCGAGTGCCACAGAGGCTTTTAAATTTGGGAGGAATTTCCTTGAGAAATTTTGAAATTTGAACAGATCTCCGCTAAATTCACAACAAAATCTGAAAGTTTTATTACCAGGATCCACCGCTAGGCCCCATTTAAGATAACTGAAATTGATGAATACGCTTATTTTTATAGCTATTTGAAACTATAAACAGATGAATTAACTAGTAATATGTTGAACAGTTGCTTTAGAAAAAATATTTTATAAAACGTATTATTTAGGAGCTTGGGAAGTGTGAAAAAGAATCTAACATCTAGAATCACTGTTCAGTTGTTCATGGACCTTAAATCCAATATTTTTTTTATTTACAATATCTCGTTTTGGAATTTTTCAAAACAGGGTTGTAAATTAATAGTTCTCTAGATAAAGATATGGCTCGCCAGGTGGATGCATCAGGGACGAGGCACCTGGACGTGCAGGGTGTGGTTGATGATAGGCGATGACCGACACGGTTGCTCAGTATAAATTTCATTTTCTTTCCTTCTTTCCATTTGCTCGGACTTTTTATGCACGCATGATTTTCAGCGACTATCCGAGAGTCGATCAACTCCTTCACGAAATCATCATCAGTTAATTAATTTTTCCGGAAGAACATCATTAGTGAATAATTAATTAGCAACGTGTTTTTCTCCACCCATGGTAGTCTATTTCTGACGTTGGGTGGTGCACCGAGATCAAAGTCATCAACCAATGCGGTGGACAAACTTGCAGCTACCTCTGTACCGCGATATGTACTTCATGTCTGCCTCGCCGATCCTCCAAGTTGCCGATCAGTCCATTACTTATTCAGATCTCACACTGCGATTAACATCATCGCTTATATCAACCTAGTCGCCGTCGTCCTTACTAATTTCTGTCAATTCTTCAAGATAATCGCCCAAAAATATCCCCAAAATCCATACCTATGTACAGTAGTTAACAGTATATCCTAACCCAAATATCTTGGACATCCTTTTCGATCTCGTTCATTTATTAGGGTTTATTGGCCATGCCTTGCGTTAGGTAATCGATCGATTTCCTCGCAAATCATCATCAATCTTATTATCCTCTATACTCAACTTATTCCCAATCTGAGATACGTGCATCAGGAGAACTTCCAAGAGTGGTAATATTCTCAGCACAGTTCACGTAGTATGTACGTGACATCCAATTTTCAGAAGAGTCTTCAGAAGAGAAGCCGATCGATGCATATGCTCCTCTCATCTGCAGATTAATCTTACGTGTAAGTACAAATCGTCGTACGACGTCTGGATAACGTCTTTGTCGCGTCAGATTGGGTACTGAAATATCTGTATCTGTGGAGACCAAAAAATCGCCGTGGAGAAAGAAATCTCTTTCATGGCGTGAAATTTAAGGCTTTGAGTAGTGGATCATTAAGACATACTGGTAGTGATAATTAAAAGAGAGTACTGTATATGTGCAGACTTCGTTGAGTTTTTCTTGGAGAGGGTAAATCACATCAGAAGTTTACGAAAGGATGGCATCACCAGTTCATCATCTTGAAAATGATTTTACGAGTAATTAGGAGGAATTAACGCAGGAGAAATGGTACGGAGACTTGGAATATATCATGCATGATGCATATGCATTCACCATCTTGACCAGCCGCATTCTAACTTGCCTGCATACGTAAGATAGATGTAACAGAGGCTCAAGGAGTGAGAGGCTTAAGAAATTAATTATTAGGCCGTCTACTTCTTCTAGAGATCAATTAATGTTCTTTTTTCCCATACTGCATATGGAGTATTACTGATGTAGTATTTCGTTGTTGTTAACAACTACTGGATGTATGGATTCATTATGTATGCATTGCGTTGCTACCTTGTAGGCTGATAAGTTGACAAAAAAAAATTAGCCTATTTGATTGATGGGGAGTTGACTAAAAACATTCCCAGGAACACATCAAATCCATAAAACTAA